AGTGGAATTCAAGCTAACCCAAATAAAATTCAAACCAAACAAAAGGGGGAGGGGAAAAATAAGCCTTAACTAAAGGATATCTTAATAATGGTAAAAAATAATAATAATAATAACAATGATGATTAGTATAAAAATTGTTCCCAGGGAGAAAAGGGCCTCTAAAGTTTTTGAAAAGAGTTAAATGCCTAAATCAGGTCACAAATGTGTTGCCCTTGGACTGCATCCTGAGAGCAGAAGTGTGTCTGCCTATCCGGTAATTTTAAAAATCTGAATTGTTTTCCAACATTTACTAGTCAGGAGATTTTACATAAAATGTTATTAATATTGAAAGATATGAAGGTCTGGCAACAATGAATCCCCACTGCCTCATTGCAACAACTAGCCAGCAGTTCTCAACCCTACCTGCACTCTGGAAACCACCTAGGAAGCTCTGAAAAAATACCAATGCCTGAGGCTGACCCTCCAGTCATCCTGGGTAGAGCCCAGCCATCTGCTTGTTTAAAAGCTCCTTGGAGGGCTCTAATGTGCAACCAGAGATGAGACTCATGGGCCTGCAGTTTTACCCTTGGCAGATACTCTCCATTTAATCACAGTAGTCAAATGTACTGCACTGTTCTTCCAGTTACTCCCATCCTAAAAGGCACTGGGAGTTGAAACTCCCTTTAAATATTCCTCTCTTAATCTTGTTTAAGCCACAAAACTAAAGAAGGGTGCAGTTCAGCAACATGAACTTTATTAGCTACAAATACTCTACCAGAACATACCTCAAAGCACGGTCAACACACTACCTGTGCATCCAAATCTTGTTAAAATGCAGGTTTCCAGGCCATGCTCCAGACATACATATCACAACTCTGCGGATAATCTCCTAGTGCACTGTAAACATTGAAAACCAGTGTTGTTTTCTAAGAGGGTGCTGAGGGCTCTCTTCCCTTCCTGCTCCTACAACCATCCATTATCTGACCATAAGAACACTAACTTGTCAGGACCATGGAATTATTTCACTGAACAGAGCAAAGAGGTTTAGTCTCTGACATTCTCTCTCTTACATCTGCACTTGGCTTGCTCTCATTAAACTGCTTTTCCTTTAGAATTGCTCCTTGAGTCTACTCTTCGCCTCTCTATTATCCATGATAGACATAGTAAATGAACTTGGTGCCTTCATGCTTTAGGAACATACAAACCTTCTGCCTCCCAAATAGGGAAGAGAGGCAAGGCGACATGATTAAGCCATTTAAGATCCCCCCTAGTCTACCCTAAGGCGTTCCTTGCAGCTCATATGTTGTACCATTAAGCTCCCAGAGGCTCAAGCAATATTTCTCAAATGTGATCCACAAATGACCTATATCTATATCACTGGGCAGCTGGATAAACATGCTGATTCCTGAGTCTCACACGAAACCTACTGAATGAATGAGAATTTCTGGAAAGGGGGCCAGAGAAGCAGCCCTTTTAACAAGCTCCCCAGGTGGTTCTTATGCACAGGAAGTTTGAGAACCACTGAGCCTTAAGTTCAACAAAGAGAATGCCCTCTCTAGAGCTCCTTCAGGAAATTCACAGCAATGAAGGGAAGCCATTGGCTAACATCCTGGATCCTCACATCTCCCTCTCTCTTCACTCCCTAATTGGCAGAACTTATGAAATTCGTTACAAACCCTTTAAAACGATCAGATATTCTGTTTTACTGTAATTCAAATTAATCAGCTATTAGGACAAAAAGAAGTAAGAAATAAACTCCAGTTGTATACTAGCAGAATCCTCAACACCATAAAACACAGATTAGTTTCAAGTCCAGAAAGCTTACAATTGTCATACTATTTCCATTTTAAATTAATCCTACAGCATAACCAGGGAACACCTCTCGGTGGAGTTCTAAGCTTCTCATATCCTTTTGATGCTTTCATACACAGCTCATCAGTTACCTCTCCAAGGCTGGATGTTGCTAACCAACATGTGGGAAAAAAGGCTCTAAAACAGCATGACAATTTTATGCTTGGCTCAGGTAATCATAGCTCTCTTGAGGGGAATGTGCTCTTCAGGCTCACCTCTCCTCTGTTTCTGCCATCCACAATCCCCCTGAAGGAACTTAAGGTTCTTATACACTCGAATACACTCTGCTGATTTATAGTGCCAAACAGCCATTCACATAAGGGCTCTCCATAAATATTAGTGGATTATGCCAACTCAGGTGATTGATTCTGGACCTCTTAATGTGCCACCAATCTAAAGACAAACCTTATAGAGCCAGAATGATTTCAGCTCCTCAAACTAGGCTCCCTATCCAAACCTTGCACATATTGTCTTTTGAAAACACAACTGCAGTTAGAAGAACCAATTACAGGAGAAAATGAATTATAAATAGGAAAACAGGTGAAATATTACAGCTGACTGAGGTCTGGCACTCACACACAGTGAGGACAATTGTGTACGAAAAGGGGAGCAACTCTAATTCTTCTGTATAATAGAAAATTTCCTCATACCATCATCTAAACCAGTGCTTCCTAAACTTTAAAGTGCCTATGAATTACCTGGAAAATCTTACTGGAACGCAGGCTCTGATTCAGGCAGGCCGAGATTCTGCATCCCTAACAAGCTCGCAGGTACTGCTAATGCTGCTCGTGGCTCTGCTACTCCCTAGCATGGTGGGAAACAGCAGCATCACCCGGGAGCTTGTTAGACAAGAATCTTGCACCCACCCAAGACCTAAGCAAAGAGAAGCTGCCACTCAACAAGGTCCCAGGTGATTAGCCCGCACATTAGAGAGCAGCTGACTTACCATCTTGTACTCGCTGTGAATCAGAATCACCTGGGGCCTTTTTAAAACTAAAAATGCCTAGGCCTCACAGCAGAGATTCTGATTGAGCTGGTCTGGGGTATTTGATGGTTCCTATGTTTGTTTTTAAGCACATCCAGGTGATTCTAATGAGCAGCCAGCATTGAGAACCGTTGAATTAAAAACACCCTACCGGGTAGAGGAAAACATGGAGCAACTGCTAAAAGGAGAGGAATTTCTTTCAGGGATGATGAAAATGTCCTAAAATTATTATGGTGATGGTTGCATAATTCTGTAAATACACTAAAAACCATGAAAATTGTATACTTTAAATGGGTCAATCGTATGTTATGTGAACTATATGTCAATAATACTGTTATATAAAAATTAAAAATTTCAGTAACTTTCCTATTTTAAAATAAGTAAATAGCCCCCACTGAACAACAATGAAATGGAATTATTTTCTGTCCTGGATCTCTGGCCCAAGACTCTGAATTTCTTTTAAAAATGAGAAAAAATGGGGGCTGGCCCCGTGGCTGAGTGGTTAAGTTCGCGCGCTCCGCTGCAGGCAGCCCGGTGTTTCGTTGGTTCGAATCCTGGGCGCGGACATGGCACTGCTCATCAGACCACGCTGAGGCAGCGTCCCACATGCCACAACTAGAAGAACCCACAACGAAGAATACACAACTATGTACCGGAGGGCTTTGGGGAGAAAAAGAAAAAAATAAAATCTTTAAAAAAAAAAAAATGAGAAAAAATGCAGATGTTTACATGACTCATTTAGAAACATTAAGATGAGCTCATCTGCTCCTTAGGTTCAATTCTGGTCAAGGTAATGGATGGAGGAGAAACCTGAAATGAAAACTTTATATCATAAACCACATCGTGTTAAAAAAAAGAAAAGTATACTTATCAATTTGGAAAAGTTTACCCTGCACACCCCAAGTTTCCACAGTATTTTCAAATAAATAATTTTCCTTTTGTGCCACCTACTTAAAAATAAACTGGGTTAACTAAGAAGTTAACAATGAATTCATTAATCCATTGTACTACATTCTTCCAACTTTTCTGTATCTATGAAGACATTCAAAACAGATGTTAAGAAAAATGTATACAGAATGCACATCAGACATTGTTCAAAAAAATTGGCACAAGAAACTCTTGCAAATGTACCATAAAAATAAAAGAGATCATAAATAGCCCTAAAATTTCAGGAAATATCATTGCAATACATGAGCCATTGTTTACTTATTCTCGAAAGGAAAGCACTATAGATATACACAAATAAGAGGTACCACTATGTATTTTGGAGAGACTCTCTCACAGCTTCTGATAGCTGTGGTGTCAAATGCTCAAAACAGCAGGTGCTCTATGCTCAAGCCAATGATGGTTCACAAGTATCTGATTTACTTTCCCTGTTGGATTGCCATAACCTGTGTAAGCCATTTTCCCCTGTGAACCTGTGCCCTTGTTTCTGATCCCATGTTCTCATTCCTATGAAACAGACACATTCTGGATGCATCACTGAACAGAGTCCCTAGGACAATATACACTGATTACATGGCATCTTCTGAGGTCCTCTGCTCCTCTCTTAAGAAATGGCTTTCTGGGATGTTTAAGGCAATAGACAAGGTCACCTTCACAAGTAAGTATGGTACCCTCCCTTGTCCACAACTCCCCCACAAAGAAGCCAATGCATTTTACTATAATTGTTGCTGTGTGTATTTTCCTTTTAAAATAATTCTACCATATTACATTCTATAGATGACAAAGAAAAGGTAAATCAATGCTCCTACCTACTGACCTTGTCCTGGGTGACAACCTTTGGATAGTCTCTTATTACTTCATATAGTGAGGAAGTCTACCCTCCCTCCTAACCTAAACCCCCCTCTGCTTTAAGTACATTTGCTCGATGAACTCTTCAGTTTTCATAGTATTGGAAAGATGGTTATATATCCGAGAGCAAAAGAATGACCTGAATTTTGGGTAACAGATTTCAATTCCAAGGAAGCAACCCTAAATAAAACCCACATTGGTGAAACTCAGCATGTTGTCAACTCTATCTCAATCCTTAGAATCTTTGAAATAGTAACCTCCTGAGAGGTCAAGACCCAAAATCACTGTTGAATTAAATAATTAATTCTTAATGGATTAGCATCTCTCAGTTCCTAACTTAGTCAACAATTCACACACACAAAAACTTTTAAAGAAAGGAGCAAAGGCTTACCTAATATTATATATATCCTGAATATTCTTCTCCCCACCCTGTCCTTCCTTAAGAGCTTGTATTTGTAATAATTTCATAATGGCTTTTATCAAGCCATGTGTATTCCTGTAAAGAAATATAACAACATGTTAAGTGTTATAGACATAAAGTAAATATTCTAATCAGGCACTTAATCCTGCCATTTTTAAATAATTGGAACACTCACCACCCATACTGCACAGTAGCCACCTACACGCACCCAGCTGTTTCTACAGCACAGCCAAGAAGAGGCCTACAAGTGGACAGCTCCCAACCAACACGTTTAAAGGAGGAGAAGCAGAGCTGAAGAATCAAACCACCAACCTTTCAACCACCTCCCTACACACACTTGGGGGAAAATCAATCAGAAAGAAACAAACATTAGCCCACAAAATTGCAGGCAGTGACCACATCAGTGACCCATACTGAATAATCAAGTCCTTCATTTACAAATATTAGCAGAACATGAATAATAACCAGACATATGAAATGGATCAGCCATTCAAAAGAGTCGGTCAGGGGACCAATCAAAACAAATAACCCCCATTAAAACAAAGTTAATGGGAGTGGGGAGTAGAACGTCAAATTTTTTCCTTATTCTCTGTAAGAGGTAGGAGGACAATATATCAAAAAGAAGAACAGCCTGCTCTTTTCATTTTTTCCCCTAGTTATTAAATTTTTGTTAGGAGATTTTTTCCAGTTTTACTGAGGGAAAATTGACAAATACTGTTGCAATATATTTAAAATATACAACATGAATATGCATACATTGTGAAATAATGGCCATAATCAAGTTAATTAATACATCCATGACCTCATATGGTTACTTTTTTTTTATTGCAATAGCCAAGAAAGAACCACAGTGATGCCAGTGAAGTAGGACTCTTGCCTCTCTTCCTCTAACCCTGTCCCCTACCCAATCGTGGGGCACGTAGAAAACAGGGGAAGCAGGCAGAGGACAGCAAAGGAGGCATCAGTGGTCCCCCTGACATTGCAGGTTCCCAGTCAACTCACATTCCCCCAATTTATGACAATACCTGTTTCCAGTCCTTTATTGATTTTATATTTTAATTTAATTACTTTGGAATATATTTGGTATATAGTTAAATAATTGTCCTGGTATCATTTATTGAATAATGATTTTTTTGTGTGTGTGTGAGAATGCTTAAGATCTACTCTCATAGAACACTTCAACTGTACAATACAGTATTGTTAACTATAGTCAACATGCTGTACATTAGATTCTCAGAACTTACTCATCTTATAACTGGAAGTTTGTACCCTTTGACCAACCTCTCTCCATTTCCTCTACCCCTCCAGCCCCGGCCAGAACTACCATTTTATTCTCAGTTTCTATGAGTTTGACTTTTTTTTTTTTTAGATTCCACATATAAGTGATTCCATACAGTATTCATCTTTCTCTGTCTGGCCTATTTCACTAGCATAATGCCCCCAGCTTCATCCATGTTGTCACAAATTAGCCTTTTTAAATAAAGATCTCCCTGGGAACTAGAAAGAAATCTTAGAAATTTTTGAAAAAACTGTTAGAGGCCAGCCCCATGGCCAAATGGTTAAGTTCACGCACTCCAATTTGGCAGCCCAGGGTTTCACTGGTTCAAATCCTGGGCGCGGACATGGCACCGCTCATCAAGCCACGCTGAGGGGTCATCCCACATGCCACAACTAGAAGGACCCACAACTGAAAATACACAGCTAGGTACTGGGGGGCTTTGGGGAGAAAAAGGAAAAATAAAATCTTTAAAAAATAATTGTTAAATGCAAAAAAGTAATTATTTTTTAGTCATGGTTGTTAACATTTAGGAGCACCTATTGTAAGCTAAGTGTTTAACATGTATTATATCATTTACTATCCAGAATACAGCAGGTTACAAATCACTGTTAACTTTGTTTTGGGGCTAGGACAAGACTTGGACTTTACATTGGTACCATTTGGTACAATTATGTCAGGCGTTATTGAGTATACTCTTTGATGGCATTTAAAGTTTTCCAACTGACAAGAGGTTTGGCCACAGTGTCCACCATGTTAACCAATAGCCATACGTGGCTACTGAGCACTTATAATGTGGCTGATCCAAACTGAGATGCGCTGTAAGAATAAAATACACGCTGGATTTAAAAGACTTAAGACACAAAAAAGAATGGAAAATATCAAGTATATGTTTTATATTGGTTACATGTTGAAATAATATTTTTGATAAATGGAGTTACATAAAATACATTATTAAAATTAATGTCATCTGTTTGTTTTTACTTTTTAATGTGGCTACTAGAAGATTTTGAATTACATATGTGGCTCACATTATATTTCTGTTTCACAGCACTACTGGAGACACTCATATGGTTTAGTTTGGTTTCTCTTGTAGTTGAAGCATTTTCCACAATCTTTACAACAGTACGTTTTCTCTTTCATATGGATCGTCTTATGACCATGCCATGTAGACCTGGGAATGAATCTTTTGTAACAGATACCACATGTGTGGGTTCTCTCCTGTGTGGATCCTCCGATGAACACAGAGGTCTCAACACTGCATGAAGCTTTCCCCTAAGATTCTCTCTCCCGTGTGTATTCTGTTATGGATGTCAAACAGATTTAGCTTTTCTGGCACACCCTACATTGGTATGGTGTCAATTCCACAGTACTTTATTTTGACCAACAATATGGTCGGTTAATCTCATTGTGACTCAATAAAAATTAAAGAGTAAATTTTTTAAAAATTGGAATGAAGGGCCAGCCCAGTGGCACAGCAGTTAAATTCATGTGCTCTGCTTCAGTGGCCCAGGGTTCACTGGTTTGGATCCCGGGTGTGGACTCACGAATCACTAATCAAGCCATGTGGTGGCAGGCGTCCCACATATAAAGTAGAGGAAGATGGGCAAGGGTATTAGCTCCAGGCCAATCTTCCTCAGCAAAAAGAGGAGGACTGGTGGTGGATGTTAGCTAAGGGCTAATCTTCGTCAAAAAAAAAAAAAAAAGTAAAGTAAATAAATTTAAAAAACAAATAAAAAATTGGAATGAACTGTAGTTGTCTTAATAAGATCTGCTGCATGGCATCTCTTGGAGCCCTCTTTGGAATAGAGGTATTGGCTTGTTTTCTTCCTTTGGGACTGCTCAGATTCTTCTGAGAACCTTCTCTATTGATACTGAGTTTCTAGAATCCTCTTCCTCTGAAGCTTAGGAAGAAGACATCTCAACATCCAAACTTTCACAATAAATTCCTGCTTTGCAATTCTTCACACCATTCACTTTTATAGACTCAGAACCATTCTGTAGCTGAGGAGCCTAGACTTTAAGGAATGGTATCTTCCAGTATATCCTCCAGCTCTTCACAATTCTTCACACTTTCCTTTACAAAGACCTGGAGATAGAAATCACAACTGTTCTATAGCCAATTTATCAAGAATCTAGTCCTACGTGTGAATGTCCGGCCTCAGTCATAGAGAGCAGTTTACAGAGGCTCCTCAGAGCTTCAGTGAGACCTGACTTCTCCAAATATATAAATTCACCAAGGCTAACTCAACAGTCCTCAGGGTTGCAGGCTTGCTTTTTGAAAGTTATTTCCTCAAGATGATACAAACCCCTAAGGCTCTGACCCAGGCCTGTGCTTCCATGTTAAACAAGACCATGAAATCTCAGGTCTGTAGCTATATTTAGTGGATAAATTCTCATCATCACTGAATAAGCAGTTCCTAGATTTCAGTATCTAACCCAGACTTATCATGGGGGGGGGGGGGGGGCGTCTCCTCTGGTTTGCCTTGGTGAGAGGGTCAGTCTCTACATGTTCAGAAGCCTCCTTGTCTTCCAGCCTTCAACGTTTATGCAACTGGAAATCAGCTCTAACGTCTGATTTAAGCTAAAGTGACTCCATTTATATACAGCTGGAGAAAGTCCAGGACTCACCGAGTAACAACATAAGCCCACTCCCTGGGCCTAACGATTAGTTCAAATGGTACTCATTTTAGATGATCAGTGTTGATTGAATTTGTGACTGAATTTCTTTCAAGAAATATGGATTCATTAAATAATCCTTTTTTGCACGTGAAACTACATTGGTTTCCCATATGTAATGATTTATTTGTCACGACTAGTTTTGGAGAGGACAGATAACAGACCTACGACTTTTAACCAATTTGGGTCACTCGCCCCTTTATGAAAGCAGCAGAATCACAAAGAAAAGCACATCCATTGTATCTGCACTGAATTCCAGGGAGTTCACAGAACCACTGAGGCTGATAAATGATGTCCAGTTTTTTAACCTTAAGTTAGGTCTTGCTTGGTCTTATTTATGGATCCAGATTTTACTGTGTGGATAACTGAGTCTGTACTATATTTTTAGCAAGAGTGTAGCATGAATAGATAATTTCTGAAAGATGATAGCATTAATCGAATCACATACAGATCCATGCAAACAGTAACACATTCGCCGTAAATTCAACTGAATAATTATTTAAATATTTCACGTGGGTTGAGAGAAATGGTTTCAGATTAATTTTTACTTAAATCCTTGCTTTAATTCTAATTAGCTAGGGAACAAGAGGCAAACCGCTTAACGCCTGGGAGCCTCAACATCCTCATCTGTGCAACCTAGAATCACGATAACAAGCCCAGTTCTTGTGTTGTTTTAAAGAATAAATAAGAGTATGTCAGTGAAGTATCTGGTTATTTTTTCAAAAAGTTGTGAGAATCTAATACACGTAACTATACTATAAAGATTACAACTTTTTTTACTCTTTACAAATGAGGCTATGCAAATACAAGACTTAGAGTTAATGAACGATGAAGCCTCAAGTGTGCCTAAAACTAACTCTATACCCACCCTAACTCCTAATATTTTCCACCTTTCCTGACAAAACTCTTTTTCTTGTTTTCAAGCCATTGTTACTCTGCATCTGAGATCTACTTTTATAAAATTAATATTTTTTATTGAATTCTGTATGATTGCAGAAAGAGGTTTAATAGTTTCAATAGTGCTGAAAATCAAAGTAATGAATTAGAAGAAAACATAACTACTGGAGAAGCAAAAGTTCAAAGATAGGGTAAAAGAAAATCTCACTGGACTTAAGTCTTC